AATCTTCGTCCGCAAATCTATGTCAACGCATTTCTTGGATTGTATGGTCATACTACGGATTACTGTAAAGTCATACTAACAAAACACAAAGTATACAGTAATTTCAGCTTACCTTCGAGGACTGGGACGCTTGCTCGGTTCTCTGACAGAAGGCCTTGGTTCTGACGACTTGAGCACAATGGCGGTCGCGAATTGTTGTTGAGTGGCCTCTGCCACACCAGACACTACCTACCCAGGGACACGCTAGTCACGCTCGTGCAGGCTTTGGCTGTGTCAACGATTCGGTACGCCATCAGTGTTTACGGTGTCTGCGGTGTCACGCAGACCAGTAGGCTTCAGAGGCTGTTGAACTTCGGCGCTCGCGTTGTCTCGGGTCGCCGAAAGTTCGATCATATAAGTGACGTCATGAGAGAACTGCGATGGCTCTCAGCTGAGAACTTGTGGCGATTTCAATCAGTCATGCTGCTGAAGAAGATGCTCGCCACGGGACAGCCCGAGGTTCTGCGTGCTAGTATAGCGTGTCGAGGGAGCGTGCATGGCCGCGGCACTCGACAAGCCGATCATCTGGACACGCCTATGATCCGAACGGAGGCCGGCCGCCGTCGATTTCTGTATAGCGCTGTGACCATGTATAACAGCCTCCCAGCAGCACTCCGCGAGCTAGGCCTGCACAGATTTAAGAAGGAGTACCGGGCGATGCTGCTGAGGGAACAGTATGGCGATGACTAGTTCTCCCTGTTTAAGAAGAACACTGCATGATGAGGTATATTTTTACACGCTGTATGGTCGTATATTGTTTGTCTGTCCTGAATGATGTGCATACGATTCCCAATTCCGTGATTATTGGACACGACTGCCAAGAACAGCCATTGTATGATGGAAAGGACAGTCACGATGTGAAATAAATAAATAAATAAATGAATGGTCGCGAACTGCAGAGACATTCCGAAAATATTATTCTTGGAATACCTAATACTGTGCTGGACGAATAGATTAATCACTTTTAGATTAGTTATGTCACAACGGAATAGGATTATCAAGAAAGTGATACAATATTGCTTGAAATACGCTCCCGAATACTCCCGAAGAATAATGTTAGTAATGCTACCACATAATATTACTCCATGGTTATAAAATTATTGTCCGGACATGATAGTTTTATCACAAAGGACGTAATTTTTACACCTACATGAGAATAGTTTTATTCTGTCGCGTCAATTTATCAGCCGTAATGGAGTATAAAAATTACCCTAAATACTCCACAGCGGTTTATTTTTATGCAGTTTTGATAAAAGTACTCTAGCTGTCAATTTTATTACCATCTAATGGGAGTTCAGCACAAATATATTCCAATGACCTTGTTTATCACTGTGAAATAAGCTAAAATTACCCCATGCCTCTTTGAGACTGATATAAATTTATAACCCGAAAGAATAAAAAGGACACGTGATAAAATTAGAAGATAAAATTAGCACTTGCTAAAACACAAAAGAGATGATTATAGTAACAGGTTTAAGAATAACTTTCAAAAACGCCCTTAATGCAATGCAGAGAGTAAGAATACGCTACAAAACATAATCATTATATGCCATTGGTGCGTGATTATTCGCCAAACTGGAGTGGAAAAACTCCAAAAATAACTCTCTAGGTGTAAGTTTTTTTCAGTGTGTGCTGGTTCTTGATGACAAACCGATGGGTGTCGAGATGGTACTCGGAGTGCCCGCCATCTCGGCTCTGGGTGGCGTGATGATTGCATCCCCCTCTGATGTCAAGTTCTGTGGGAAGCCGACTACGCCGCCCACTCCACCAGGCCTTGAAGATGAATTGGTGGTGGACACGCCCGATTTCTCAGTACGGTTTGATGCCGACCAACGAGCGTGGACGATGTCGTGGAAGTGGGAAGATGGAGCTGAGCCAGCCAGTCTATCCAGCAGTGTGCCTGAGTATGCCATGTCAGCAGAAGCCAGGCAGGAATTTGAAGCCGAACTTCAGACTTGGATAGACAATGGATGGCTAATTCCATACGATCAGTCCGTCTATGGCCCTCCCCGTGGACTGTTGCCGCTGATGGCTGTGGAGCAGGGCAGTAAGTGCAAGGTGCGACCCTGTCTGGACTACCGTCAGTTGAACAGCCACGTACACTCGAGGGCAGATTGATGTTCCACCACTCCCTACCCATCGGGCTCCCATGGCTTAGCACTGGCTGCTGCCAGTGTTGCCTACCCTCAGCACTGGTCAGCACTGCCTGCCAGTGCCAGTGCTGCCAGTGCTGCCACTGGCAGCAGCCAGTGCTGAGCCATGGGAGCCCGATAGGATAGGGAGTGGTGGAACATCATTCTGCCCCCGAGTGTACCTGCGCACACAGCAGAGGCCGACGTCTGCACAGACACGCTGCGGAGGTGGCGCCGCCACGGTAAGAATCTCGCCGTGGTGGATTTGAAGCGAGCTTACCTGCAGATTCGCACAGACCAGCGCCTTTGGCCATTTCAGACCGTGATTGTCGGCGGACGGCGTTATGCGTTGACGAGGGTCGGGTTCGGATTGAACGTGGCCCCGCTGCTGATGAAGAAGGTGGTGCAAGCGGTTCTCAGCCAAGACGCCGATGCGGAGCGCGCCACAATACCGTATGTGGACGACCTGTGTGTCGATGAGGACATTGTTACGGCCGATCGTGTAGTGGAGCACTTCTCTAAGTACGGCCTGGAGTGCAAGCCTCCAGAGAGAGTCCAGGACGGAGCACGGCTGCTGGGCCTGCGGGTTGGTGTCGCAGGAGACGGTGATCTCCACTGGACTCGGGATAACGCAGTCGGTGCCCCTCCTGACGTCATGACACGCCGCGCTGTGTTCTCCTGGTGCGGACGTCTGGTGGCGCACATGCCAGTGTGCGGCTGGCTGAGGCCGGCAGCGGCCTGGCTGAAACGTCGAGTCAATGCTGTGACTCACCACTGGGACGATGTTACCGACGATCCAGAGCTGCGCGAGCAGATGATGTACGTGGCTGAGCGGATGGTGAATGATGATCCAGCGCGAGGTCACTGGCACGTCAGTGGAGACAGTGCTGTCGTGTGGACGGACGCCTCCTCTGTGGCGGCGGGAATCGCCCTGGAGACGCAAGATGGAAACATCATCGAAGACGGATGCTGGCTTCGAAAGGATGAGACGACTCACATAAATATGGCAGAGCTCGATGCCGCCCTGCGAGGCATCAATCTAGCTATCGCCTGGGGCATGCGAGTCATCGAGCTGAAAACGGACTCGGCCACTGTTCATCGCTGGCTCGACGATGCATTAAGTAGCCGAGCACGTCTCCGCACTAAGGCCCACGGGGAAATGCTGATACGGCGCCGAGTCGACATAGTCAAGCAGTTGGTGGCCGAATTCAACCTGCATCTGACAGTGACTCTGGTGAAGTCGGCGGACAACAAAGCGGACTGCCTCAGCCGGGTTCCCGCTCAGTGGCTGCGCGGTCCACTGAACGGAGAGTCCGCTGGGACGTGTGGTGCTGCGGTGAATGCTGAGTGCACCAGCGGTGATGAAGATAGCTCCAGCACGAGCGGTGATGGCGGCGATGGCGTCGGGGCAGATGGGACCGAGGACGAAGAAAGAGGACGGCGAGCAGCGGTTCGCGAGGTGCACACCCGCGCAGGCCATCCTGGAGTACGGAGAACGCTGTTCTTCGCTCGGCGCGAGATTTCTCCGAACATTACGAGGAGTGAGGCGCGTGCTGTCGTGTCCCACTGTGACGCATGCAGGTCTATCGACCCAGCACCAGTTAAGTGGAAGCCTGGGAAGCTGGAGGTGAACGAGTCCTGGACTAGGCTGGCGATTGACGTTACGCACCACCAGCGCAGTCTGTACCTGTCGGTGGTCGACTGCGGTCCTTCGAGGTTCAGTTTGTGGAGATTGCTTCGAAGGGCAGATTCAGCGCACGTCATTGAAGAGCTGCATCGAATTTTCAATGAACGTGGAGCTCCAGAAGAGATCCTGGCGGATAATGATACCGCCTTTCGCAGTCGGGCGTTTGCAGTGTTCGCGGCAAAGTGGAAAATTCGGCTGAGGTTCCGCGCCGTCTACCGCCCAAGTGGAAATGGTGTGGTAGAGAGGAATCATCGGACCGTGAAGGTCATAGCCGCAAGAACAGGGTGCACCGTTGGCGATGCCGTGCATCTTTACAACGTAACACCTCAGGACGGACAGAGCTCGGCTACGACACCAGCCGGACAGATCTACCGGTACCCGGTCAGGGACAGCGTGAGGACAGACACTGGCACTGGTGGTGATCCATCGGACGGCAGCGGTCCGGAGGGCACGGACAGCGCCTACACTGTCGGGGACGCCGTGTGGGTCCGACAGCCTGGATCACGCTGTGGTGATAGGTCGCAGCCGGGTGTTGTTACCAGGGTGCCGTCACTTCATATTGTGGAAGTGGACGGGACCCCATGGCACGTTGGTGATGTTCGGCACCGCAGTGAGAGTGACCCTTGAAGGTCAGGGGGTGGTGTTTGATGGTGCCTCACTCTATTTGTATTTTATGTAATTGACGGAACGCATAGTAATTTTATCTCGCGCAAAAACACGCTGATGGAAAATTTGATGTGCAGATTTGGAGAGAATAAAGACAGTCGGTTTTTGGAGAAAGTTAACCGTCTTTTATATTCTATTTATATTTTATGTTACAATAATTAAGCGCTCTTGTTTTTAAATGCGCGTCTTTAGTCGTATTGTCCTGCCATTGTGCCATTTTGGGGAGTTTGCACGGGCTGCTCTTTTTCATAACACACGGCTGCATGTCACGTAGGTAAATGATGTGCATGCTAGCTTCTGAACATATCTAATGCATGCGCATTGCGCGTGGACATATTTTTAGAGGGCGGGCCTGTTTTCAGAAAACTGTTAGCTTTGACTGAACTCACTTGAAACACAAAAAAGGAGCGTGAGCTTCATTTCTTAGTTCATACCAGTGCACGTATGTCTGTGTGACGCTTCCGCTTCCGCTGCAGTTCCGCGGCGGGATGCCGCCGATGACGGGCCGCCCGCTCACCGGGATGACGTCCGGAGACGAGAACCGGCCGATGACGGCCGTCAAGGGTGTGGGCTACTCGTCTGCCGGCGGTCGCCAGTCGGGCTTCGAGCGTGGCCGGTCCGGCCTGGAGCCGCACTCCTCCCAGACGTGAGTGTGCCGCGGGTGGCAGGGTGGTGTCTGAGGGATGCGGGATCGGGTGGGACGCACTGACCGCGGTGTGTTGGCCGGCGGAGCTGCCGTCCGGGACGGTGCAGCGGGCACTGGTATCGTGTTGTCGTCGGCCGTTTGTACCGTGCTGCCGGTACACTGACTGTCTCCGCCGTGTCTCTGCTCGGACCTCCCGGAGCTCACCCGGTTCTGTGTTTCAGACTGGAGGACACGTCCAACCAGTAAGGGGCTCGGCCTGCCGTGTGCTCCCGCTACGCATAATGTAGCCTCCTGTCTAAATCGCTCTTCGTGGTCTCCTATTTTGTTTGGGCTCTGATAAACGCATGTGCTATAACTAGTACTTGCCTTCCCTGGTTGAATGCTAAACAGCTCTGAACTGGTGACTCTGGTCCATCATCCCATCCAGTACTGTGCTTATGGGAACGCCATATGCCCTGACCTTTCCCAATCCTGCTGCTATTCCAATCCTCCCGCGCTGGTCGTTTCGACGCTGAGCCGTTTGGGTCGTTCTGACGCTGGGCCGGTCGGGCTAGCCGCGGCACGCTGCACAGCCGTTGCAGTGGCGTGGAGTGGCGCACCTACACTGCACCGCCAGTGGGGGCGCCGCCGCTTCCATCAGATTTGGCTGAACTATATGTGTATATAGTGTTTGTGGGTGATTGTTTGGCTGGGCACGCTGCTTGGTTTTCCCACACCACCGCTGGTCATTGTGTCAATAATCAGAGACAGAAGTGCTGACGGCGGCAGACTCATGGACGTGGAACAGCCAGGTGTTCGGAGCAGAATTCTGTGTTTGGACCACGGGATGCTGTAAGCTCTACTCGCTACGCCTCGCCGAGCGCCAGCTGCCATCCCGCTGCTCAGACCGGAGCTGCTGCGCTTGGGTCGCGGTCTGTGACGGCCTGTCGTGTCAGCGCCCCCGACTGACGACCGTGTTCCCAGACCGGAGGAGCGGGTGCGTCAGCTGGAGGCGCGTGTCATGGCACTGGTCGAGGAGTCCTGTCTGGCTAGCTGCCGGAACGAGGATAAACTGGCGCTGGACCGCGCCAAGGAGGCGTCGGCCAAGGAGCGCACCCTGATCAGACACCGCGAGCAGGCCGGCCTCATCGACTCGCACAACCTCGAGCTGACCTTCGTGGTGAGTCGCCGCCGGGCGGGTGTGAGCCATCCTGGGATGGGTCTGTGGCAGGCAGATGGGGGGGGGGGGGGGGGGGGGTCGGGTCGCTAGGGATCTGAAGCTTGTGTCTTGTATGTGGTGGACGCAGCTGCTAACCGTTCACTTCACGTCCGATGGAGTAGAGGTGAGACTGAAGGCTGCTGGCCCTGACTCATAATGCTCACTGAGTTGCGAACTTCACATTTTCGACCGTCTACTCACTTCACTGTTCGTCCAGGTGCTGACGAACCTGGCTCACCAGTACGCCAAAAACGAGCTGTACACCGAGGCGCTCAACACCTACCAGGTCATCACCAAAAACAAAAACTTCAACAACGCCGGCCGCCTGAAGGTCAACATGGGCAACATCTACTACAAGATGGGCCAGTTCCCCAAGGCGCTGAAGTTCTACCGGATGGCGCTCGACCAGATCCCCAGCGGACAGAGCTCCACTAAGTATGACGATCGCTGTGCACTGGTATTGTTACAGATTTGGTCCTGCACGAAATTCAGGCATATGTCACATACGATTGCGAGCAACATTGTTTATTTATTTATTTTTGAAATCCGGGAACTTTCTTTCAAACTCTCGTTATCGAATACCTCTAATTCGTTTACTTGTTTAATGCTCTATTTAGGATGTGTCATAAAACGCGTTTCACAATTTCTGATTGCAGGATCAAGATAATGCACAACATCGGCATTCTGTTCGTGAAGATGGGCCACTTTCCGGACGCCATCACCAGCTTCGAGTTCTGCATGCACGAGAAGCCGTCCTTCCGTATCGGTAGGTCCGGTCTGGTGCCGCCTGGCGGAGAACATATCCGGCTTGTTGAGAGAGTGTCGTGTCGTGCTGTTGTGTCAGTACTGTCGATCCCGGTAACTCCTGTGTTCGCGTTTCGGCAGGTCTGCACCTGGTGGTGTGCTACCACGCCATGGGTGACCGCGCCAAGCAGAAGGAGGCCTTCCAGAAGCTGCTGCAGGTGCCGTTCGACATGGAGAACGAGGACAAGTACAAGGACCTCGAGGTGCGTCAGATTCGCCGCTCGGGTCGGGACTCTTGTGGCACTACACATGTGCTATACAGTATACACGTATATAACACATGCCTGATTGTCAGGGTTTAATATCTGGATACTAACCTCATGTTCACCTTCTCCCCAGCCGCTTCTTCAGCGCTCCTTCGGGTGCTCCTTCCTAATTCATCCTGCGTCCTGCCACAGTCCTGTCTGTCTCCTCAGTCAGTCGATGAAGATCGGATGCCGGTCTGACCGCAGAGGTGAGGTTACGGCCATACGGCCTTAGACAACATGACATTGCGCCCTGGTGGTTACGTTTCGGTCGAGTTTGCTCTCACCATCCGTGTATTGATTTGCCGGCCGCAGATGCTGTGACTGTGCCGCCCGGGGATGGGAGCAGTTCACCACTCCATCGGTTCCCCCGTCCGCCCTGCCCTACCGCAGGAGGAGGCTGAGAAGGACCCGCAGACCTCGCTCGTGCTGGAGGTCATCAAAAACGACCCGATGCGTAAGCTGGAGCGTCGCCTTCGCAACGAGGCGGAGCAGTGCATCCTGACAGCGGCCAAGCTGATCTCGTCGGCCGCCGGAGAGGACAGCGCACAGCTGACTGAGGCCTACGACTGGTAAATACAGCGACCAGGAGTACTGTACGTCCTTTCTGACTTCTGATGCCACAGTCATGATCTGGGTAATAGAGATAACGCTGCTGATGGACCCTTGTGTCTGACTCAGGTCTCCCCCCTTTCCTCCCTATGTCAGGTGTGTGGACACGCTGAAGAACTCACAGCACTCGGAGCTGGCCAACGACCTGGAGATCAACAAGGCGGTGATGTACCTGCGGCAGCGCGACTTCCGCGCCGCCATCGACACGCTCAAAGTGTTCGACAAGGTGGACACCAAGGTGGCCTCGCACGCCTCCACCAACCTGGCCTTCCTCTTCTTCCTGGTGAGACGCACTGCCTCTGCCGAGTATTTGATCATTAACTTTACAGCAAGCATTCATGGTCGTTGCTTTATCTTGCTCTTCTGTACCTAAATTCATTTCTGAATTGACCTTATCTTATTCCGTCGGAGTAACGGTGGAATCCATACTTCAAGTCGACATCACGGCATTGCCAGCCACCGGGTTCTGTGCGCTCTCATTACTGACGTCTCATCCATCGTCCCTCAGCGGAAGGAGTACGAGGAGGCTGAGAAGTACGCCGAGCGGGCGCGGGACGCCGACGGCTACAACGCCCCGGCTCTGGTCAACCTGGGCAACTGCTGCTTCCAGCGCGGCGACCTGGAGAAGGCCAAAGAGTACTACATCTGCGCGCTGGACAACGACGCCTCCTGCGTGCAGGCGCTCTACAATCTCGGTACGGGCAGGGCGAACGTGACAGGCCAGAACGTTGGTGCTGCGTTGGAGGATAAAGGCATGCCCGGGACTAAGTTGCCTGAAGATAGTTGGTTAGCTTGTTCTATTACGAGTGTTAGCTGTGTCTGCTTTGTGTGCTTGGAATCTTAGACATAAGGCGTGGTCTTTGTTATGCCAACCGCCAACCGGTGTAACCACTAACGAGTTCGTACTCCGTCCCGGTCCGCCGCTTTGCAGGTCTCACCAACAAGAACATGCGTCTGTACGCGGACGCCAAGGACTCGTTTGTGAAGCTGCACACGATCGTGCGCTCGCACCCTCAGATAATCTACCAGATCGCCAACTGTTCGGAGCTGATGGGCGACATCGACCAGGCCACTGAGTGGTGAGCGGCCGCCCGTGGCCTGCGGGGTATAATGAGGACTAGGTCTCCGCCACCGTTGTCAGGGACTGAAGATTATTAGGCTGGTTGTAGTGATTAGTAGCGTAATAAGCGAGCGGATCACTGATTGTTATTCACTGTCACTGTCACAGCACTCATAGGCCACTGTCTGCCTGTGAATACACTTACAACGTATTGTTAGTTTTATAATTAGCTGTGCGCAGATGCTTCCGATGAAGGGCAGTCTTCTGTCTCTTTAGCCGGCGTATGGTAACGTTGATTCATGTGTCCGCTGGTGTGCCGTTTTCTGAACGCCAGTTTCCGCTTTCGACAGGTATATCCAGATGCTAAGTTTGGTGCCGTCGGACCCGGATACCCTGTTCCACCTGGGCGGACTGCTGGACAGCGAGGGCGACAAGCAGGCCGCTTACCAGTACTACTTTGACGTGAGTCCGAGACAGCACACGCTGCCTCCCCCTTCTGTGTAACATCTGAGTGGGGCTGACTCCGCCGGGTCTGTGCCTGTGTTCATCAGTGAGTACAGCTGCAGGAACACTAGGCGCCAACAGTGTGTGAGACTGTGGGTGTCCTACGGACATCGTCCATGACTGTGGCCCAGTTGCCGTCGTTGACCGGCGGCTCCCCCTACCTCGCTGCCCGCAGTCGTCCCGGTTCTACCCGGCCAACCTGGAGGTGATCGACTGGCTGGGCTCCTACTTCATCGAGCACCAGGTCTCCGAGAAGGCCATCCTCTACTTTGAGCGCGCCACACTGATCCAACCGGCAGAGGTGCGCTGGCACCTTATCATCGCCTCGTGCTACCGGCGCGCCGGGAACTACCAGCGAGCGCTAGCCAAGTACAAGGAGATCCACGTCAAGTTCCCGGACAACATTGAGTGTGAGTACGGCACTGTTGGTTTGGCGTGCTTGTCGGATGGTCAGGGGCTTAGTTTTGTTTGAGCTATGGAGAACGCCTTCAACTATGTATATAAATGGTACATCTGATCATTAAATAGCTGACCCAGTCAGGTGAACTTCACTGGGAACAATGTAAAACATGAGTAAATCGCCCGCAGCTGCTGCTGAGAAGAATGCCAGCTGAATTACTGTCTTCCCTGACAGGTCTGAAGTTCCTGGTGCGTATCTGTACCGATCTCGGCCTGAAGGAGGCCGCCGACTACGCTGTGGAACTGAAACGCGCTGAAAAGTACAAGGAAATGCGGGACGAGCGGCTGAAATCTGGGAGGCCTAGCAGTAAGTGTTCACCAGACAGAGTGTACCGTTTGGATTGCACCCAAATATTGAGGAAGAACATCAACAAATTCATAAAGTAGACAATTAACTTAGAACATGAAATGCTTACTTGCTCCGCTGTAATAATTACGAAGTGTCAATCGCGACATTCGCCAATAGTCCTGTGCCTGATCGTCTGTCCCTGTGGCGCAGCCTCGTACCGGTCCGGCCTGCACGGCTCTCGGGACAACTCGGCGGCCAGTCGGCGCTCTGACGACCGTCCCGGCTCGATGGCCCGCCCTCCGGGCACAGCTGGCGAGCGGGCCAGCCTGTCGCCGGCCTCTCCGCAGCCGGCGCCGACCGCCGCCGCCACCCCGACACCGAGCGGCCCGAGAGAGATCGGTAAGACTGCGGGGCTACCAGTAGGGTTGGGACTGGGGAGAGTAGTCTGCACGAGATGACAGCTGATAGCGCTAGGAGAAGGCTGAACTTGGTATGGTCAGATGAGTGGTGGGTGGTGTGAGTTAATTAGGACGACGTGTGGTTTTCAGTTGGATTCCATTGGCTACATTTTGTTGATTGATTGACAAGTGTCACCGTGGTAGGTTGCAGTCTCTCGCTGCTGCTGAGTTCCAGCCAGAGGAGACTCTGGTTTGTGTTAAGCAGATCAGTGTTGAGTGCTCCCAGTGTGACTCGTGTTGGGAGGGTGCGTGCTCGCTTGCGTGTCTTTACCCCGCCGTGGACTGTGGCCACTCCTTTCCAGACCGGTGTACTCTGCGGTCCCTGGTATACATACAACTGTGTGTATGTGTGCCGGCTCCCGCCCGCCGTACTCTGCAGCCGGTCCCGTGTGTGAGCGGGTGACCGCGGGCTGACGGGCGGGCGGCGCTCCCTGCAGATGCCAGCTACTCGGACCCCATCGGGGACCCAATGGCGCAGCGGCCGCGCACCGCCGCCTTCCGGCCCGCCGCCGAGGACGACCTCTTTGACGATGAGCTGGGAGACGACCTCCTGCCCGAGTAGACTCCGAGCCGAGTCCCCTCCCGCTCCCCGGCCAGCGCTGGGACTGACTCTGACCCCTACACCGTGCCCGTGCCCACCCCTGTCATGTCCCTGACGCAGTTGGTGGACATGAGTCCGAACCTGCTCCTCGATTCTGTCATATAAGCAGCAGCCCAACCAGCTTTCCGTAACGGTCAGCCGTTGCAGCGCACAATAGCCACAGGTCACTATCACCAGTCACCACAGACCACAGCGCCGCCCGCTGCTGAACAGGAATCACCACGTCCGGGAGCCTGCCTGCCGTGTGTTCCGAGGCAGTTGCCGTGTCGCGTGGTGTGCTCTGGTCTGGTCCTCACAGTCTGGTCCTCACGGTCCTCACTCACCGCCAGCTCTGCACGAGCGGCGGACCGCGCTCTGCCCCCTGCTGGCCTGTCCGTAACGGTACTGAGGAGCGACTGTCGCCTGGGAGTGGTGCATGACGATTTGGTGCTGCACCGTTTTGGTGACCGCTCTGTTTGGTGCCTCACCGTTTTGGTGACCGCTGTAATTGGTGCCGCACCGTTTTGGTGACTGCTCTGTTTGGTGCCGCCCAGTTTGTCCAGGTTTGTCCCCACACAGTGTGACTGTCGTGCTGTACTGTACAGGGATCGCCGGCACTGCACGGCGCCCTCCCAGACCACAGCAGCTGCACGCTCCGGGCCGTGGCGTGCTGTGACCGAGTGTCCCGCTCACGTGTGCTCCCGTTCTTAACCCCTGCACCCCCGACCTGAGCTGAGCTGACCGGCCGGCTCCCCTCCTCGTGTCAGACACGTGGTACGACGACCCGCTGGGCCCGCTGGAGCAGCGGATGACCCACTACTCACAGCGGGCGGCTGAGGACGACTGGGACGACGAGCTCGGCGACGACCTGCTGCCCGAGTGAGCAGACCGGCCCGACGTCTGACGGCGGGAGGCGGAAACTGAGACTGGCCGGCCGGCCGCCAGGGTAGGGTCGAGGGCAGGCCGGTGTGGGCCGGAACGGTAGCGCTGCAAGTCATTTACTGCTGTGATTATTTTTTATAAGTCTCTACAAGTTGTACTAAACCAATTTTCATTCGTTGAATACGTGAAGTATTAACTTCTTTTTTTCGGTTCAGTTTTAATGAAATGTTTATTTTGTTACGTCATCTTTTTTACATTCCGTTGTTTCATGTATCGCATTTTTCATTGCATACCAACATTTGTGATATTTTATATACCTATGTTGTCTGATCCTTGGACGCTATGTATATGTAAGTGTAAATGCCTGCACTGAGTGTGCCAGCTGATGTTACTAAGATGAGTTACTGTCCCTCGTGTGATGTGTAGAAATGTACGTACTTAAGCAGACTCCTGACTGCATTCTGGCCGCCGGGGTCAAGAGATATCCTACAGTTTTCACAAACATCGGATAAAGTCGACTTATCCTACCCCGGATGTAAGATAATCCGCGAAGGTACATGGAAGACAATATCATATATGTAAAGTGCACGAAAATATTGATCTGCTATTGCATAGTACGATTAGTACGACTACATAACACTGCACGGGTGTATTTATGTTTTATGTAGTCACGATATGTAACCTTATGTAACGATGAAATGTTAGGTTCACTCTATGGATGTAACTTTGCTGCAGTGTTGTTCCTTTTCTGTCGGTCGTCTTCTTGCTCGATGTCCTCATTTGACGGCACACTGATAAAAGCTGTCCATTTCACCGCTCCGATGCATATGTTTGTTACCTAATATATTTTATTTCGATCGCAACGTCCATGTTTGTGAGTCACGTAATACATTTTATTTCGATCAGGGCCCTGTTCAGAAATCTGCCACCGTGCCAATTAACGATCCCCAACTGCGTGCCATATCCTGGGCGCCATCGGCCCATCCGTTCTTGTGCTATGAGAATGGCCTCTGCGCGGTGTTCGTACGGTAGGAACATAACTGCGAAATTTCGAGGCGCCGTAGGGTGCCCGACGGTAGGCCAGGTTTCAGCGCAGTCGGCCCAGTAATTGCCCAGCTATTATAACAAGAACGGACTTGACACCACGTCATTTTACACGTGTCGCGAGCTGTGGTGACTACCTTCTTGCATCGAGAGAAGCACGATGATTGGTAGGAAAAATGAAGTTGCCTTACCATGAGACTGTTAGTCAGTCGGCCCAGCGGTTTTTGAAATTACAGGCCGGGCCGGGCCACTCATGAGATTTTGTTTCAGTTTTATTGAGAAGCTTTGCGTCCGATCGAAGTAGGCCTGGTGGAGGTTAGAATGCAGTCCATAGATGCCGTTAGAAGTTTACGCCTAAAGGTATGCTGCGCCGCAACGCTGGTAGGTTCTTGGACGGCTCATAGGTGACGCTAGTGGTCTACGCCTGAAGGTATGCTGTGCCGCAACGCTGGTAGTGAGTTGGACGGCTCATAGATGGCGTTAGGAGTATTCGCCTGAAAGCATACTGCACCGCAATGCTGTTAGAGCCTTCAACAGCTCATAGATGGCGCTAGTAAACACTCCTGAAGGTATGCTGTGCCGCAGCGATAGTGACTGGGAGGTTTCATAGATGGCGTTAGTAGTTGACGCCTGAAGATATACTGTGCCGCAATTTTAGCATTGACGGACGGCTCATAGATGGCGTCAGCTGTATATAGCAGCGAATCAGGAGTTCACTGGATCTTTTGCCGAGATTGCTGACGACAGGTGGATGCTGGTGTGGTTTATCCTAGCGCTGCCATTACACCGTAAATGCCACACATGTGACATACATAACTATTCAAACTGACTGCCAGGTCGAAAATGGAAAGGTCATCTTGTGACTTCGTCCTTTATTGTTTCTGTGCTTCGGAGTCGGACCTTACGGACCAAAGCGCATCATAGCAGGGGGCTGAGACCACGCGGCGCTGTGCTTATGCATTGCTTACCTATATATAAAGTAAAAGGAGACGAGCACTGTGCGGGCATTTGTGTTTTATTTTTCATCGTTTTCTTTTTGTTCATTAATTTGCTCGTTATTTTTTTATCGTCCATTGGAAGACCAAACTTGACGAGTCAAATCTCTGGTCCTTTATCTTCCACTTAAGCCCGCCGCCCGTCTTTGCCTCTGTCTCCGTCTGTGAGACAGACTCCTTTTATCATTTCCGTGGCGTTTGATCTGGTGCGCTAGTGGTCTCGGGTCTCTGCCGGCCGCCTGGGAGGACCCTCAGCGCTGGTAATTGGTCCACAGGAGCCGATAGTTCCGGCCGCTGGAGAGCAGAGGTGTGCCATCACTATGGCGACCGACCGTACCCCTCCCCTTCCTGTCATCTCTCTTCCAACTCTCCGGTGGAGCTCCTCGCGCCGCTCCTCCAACGCTTCAATTCATATCTCCCGAAGAACGGTTGTGTACGTTGGGCCAATGCAGATGAACGGTCGGTTTGATACGCTGGGGATTGGTGAAGTCAAATACCGCTGGAGGTAGTCCTGGTTTGACAGGAGTGCCGCTATGACGTCTAAATCTGTCACGTCCTGTCACAGCTCAGGGTGGCAAAAAAGTCAGCGATCTATATCAGGGAACACCGGGCTATGTGAATGTAAAATGCCGAGATCCAGCCTAGAAAATCATTAGTGAAGTACATTCTAGTCCCGAATAAAGACAACGGAAAAAGTGACCAACGCTTCGTAAAACTCGCAGTCATTGAGCTTGTTCATCTGGAAATCCGATGAAAGATCGAGTTAGGGACTCAAGACTAGAAGATTCGAATAAAATGAAATCAATAAAATAAGTATATCCAAATGAAAAAGGTGAGTAATGGAAGTTCTGAGAGGTGACGAGAGAGAGAGAGAGAGAGAGAGAGAGAGAGAGAGAGAGAGAGAGAGAGAGGGAGAGAGAGAGGGGGAGAGAGATAGAGAGAGAGAGAGAGAGAGAGAGAGAAGAGAGAGAGAGAGAGAGAGAGAGAGAGGAGAGAGAGAGAGAGAGAGAGAGAGAGAGAGAGAGAGAGAGAGAGAGAGAGAGAGAGAGAGAGAGAGAGAGAGAGAGAGAGAGAGAGAGAGAGAGAGAGAGAGAGAGAGAGAGAGAGAGAGAGAGAGAGAGAGAGAGAGAGAGAGAGAGAGAGAGAGAGAGAGAGAGAGAAGACGGACGGAAAGTGGAAGAGAAAGAAAGGAGAAAGTGTGGGTTGGAACTAAGGAAGGGCGGGCACAGGTTAGCCGTTGCGTCCGGTCGCGCGCGGTGTGACGGCGCCGGACGATCCCCCTCCCCTCTCCCTCCTCTCCCGCTCTCCCTGCGGCAGGAAGTGACGGATCACCGGCCCCTCTGCACCCTGGGAGCAGTGGCTGACCCGACGGAGCCATGGAGCCGGCCGGCGCACCTTTGTGTGCAAACGAGCCGCGGCCATACCACACCACCTGAGAGCGCACCGTGCAGCGCCGGCTGGGAGAGGAGACCGAACGGCCGACGGGTCAGCCAGAGACCGCGCCAGTCGCCGACTGCACTCCCATACGATCATACCACTGATCATGGTGTAGATGCAGAGGAAGCTCGCATAATGGTTGAGTTGAAGTCTGAAGAACCGAAGACGCTCCAATAAGTCTAGTGTTATTTTTTGGGAGAAGGGGAAGGGTCACAGCTGTGAAGCTGTACCTCGCTCTCTGACAGAGCTGCTCCCTGCCCCTCCCCTTTTAGAGCAGCACCCCTCCCTCTCTGTACGAGCTTCACCCCTTCCCACCGCTGTTACGCGAGCTCCCTCCCCCTCCTCCTCTCCCAGCCGCCGCCGCTGTTACGAGCAGCCCGCCCCGGCTACCGTTGCCGCCGGTATGGTTTATGACCGTGCCGTATCGGAGCTGCGGTTTTTGTCGACTGACGACGGTGCGAGGACGGAAAGACGGCGGTGGGGGCGGAGGGAAGGCGTTGCTGGTGGTGGTGGTGACTGGTGACTGCTGGTGACTGTTAGTGACTTCTGCCTACTGGAGGTGATAGCTCAACCAGTTCAACCTTTGAGTCTCGGGCTACAGTACGGAGGCTGCAGGGCCTTCGCAGTCTGTTTTCGTGAAATGTTGATTCCTGTCTCCTTGACAGTCGCTTTATGTGACCTTTGTAACCCCGATAGGCGAAAGCAGACACATCAGTGTATGGATATCGTTTGATTCATTATTAGCCTCTGGCACAAACAGTCGGTACATACATCTGGAAACAACAGCGGCGGCTCGGTGGCCGCCATCACAATCACATCACACAGTGCCGCCCGCTGCGGCCGGAGGTCCTCGGGTGCGGCCACCGGTCAGTCCGCGACCCGACCCGCTCTGCTCATCTCAGCGCGACAGGGCAGCGCTAACTCTCAGCGGCACACGGCGCGGCAGCACAGAACATCACATGTCTGTGCCCGGACAGCCGCTGGTAACGGTCAGTGACACACCGTGCAATGGACAGGGTGCCAGGCACTTGGTGGGGCAGACGGAGCGGCGACACCCCGTACAGGGCGCGCCGCGCGCCGGCGACTAGAATGACGGGCGGCGTCACAGCGACCGCGTCCACACGTGCGCACACATGGTAACGCGGCACACGTGACGTCATTATAACGTCACTATCGGCGCGGTCAGTGCACGTACTGGTTGTGCGCGGCGTAGTGTTGTGCGTCCACGATGACACTCGTATAGGCGGGCTGCGAGTAGGGGCAGTACTCCTTGGATGGGTTATTGTTGAGCGCCGTCTGCTCGGTCATCTGCTGCAGCTCGCCGCCGGTCTTGCCGTACCCAAACACCTCCTGACTGCGGTCAAAGCCGTCCACGGGCCGTTCGTACAGCTCCGCCGGCCTCTCATACATCTCTGCCGGCCTCTCGTACATATCAGAGGGCCGTTCGAACGCCTCCGGACCGCGCTCATAGGCCGGGTTGAGCCGCTCAAACGGCGCCGCATGCCGCAGCTCTCCGGAGCGCGCCTGGAAGCCGTACAGCTCGGTAGCCGACGGAGAGCTGCACATGTAGCCCTGATACCCGCCGGCTGCCGGGTAGCCGGTGTAGCCGTGCGGCGCTGCGGCCGGCGCAGCCACCGGCAGCTCCAGCTCCAGCGCGTCCGAGGCGGCGCTGCCGGCGCTGGCGGCTGAGCCGGCGCTGACGGGCCGCGCCGCCGCCGCCGCCGCCGCCTCCACCTCGCCCCGCGCACAGATCACCGAGCCGGCGGAGAGGAAGGCGGCCGGCGGACGCTGCCGGGCCGCCGGTGCCGCCGGCTCGTTACACACCGCCGCCGAGTACCCGTAATTGGCCAAATCGGCGTGCAGCACGAAGCGCGGGTCGGCCGCCTTCGCGGTGGCTGCGGCGCCGTAGCCGGCCGGGTCGGTGTAGCCGGTGTACTGGGTGGCCGGCTCGGCGCTGAAGGTGACCGGCGGGCAGTAGGCGCCGGCTGGGGACCGGTACGGCGGACTGAGGCCGCGGGCCGGAGCCGGCGCCGGAGTCGGCTCCGGACACGGCTCGCCGTTGGTGGAGGAGGCCGTCCGCAGACCGTCCACCTGACTGATGTCGAGCTGCTGGCGCGGCCGCTCCGCGTCACTGCCGACAGAGACGGTGCGCCAGGTCAGGTCAGCGTAGGAGTGGCAGCGAGGGAGAAGAAGCGGGCTGGCTTTAGTGGTACTGTATCGGCATCAGTAGAGCCACAAAGCATTGAGGTGGAGAATGTACTTCATCGATGCAGTGAGGCTGTGGAAAGGTGCTGTGTCGGTGGAGCGGGGCACTGTTTCGGTACAGCGAGGGTCGCGCCCGGCCGGCTGCCGGTTCGCTCTCTATCACTCATCAGTCTCTAGCTCGGTGCGGGAGGCCGGCCGGACGCGACGCCGCTGTCTCTGTG